TCCTAATGCTAGACCAAACCAAGCCTCCTAATGATAGACCAAGCCTCCTAATGCTAGACCAAGCCTCCCTAATGATAGACCCAAGCCTCCTAATGCTAGACCAAGCCTACTAATGCTAGACCAAGCCTTCTAATGCTAGACCAAACCAGCCTCCCTACTGCTTAGACCAAGCCACTAATGATAGACCAAGCCTCTAATCTAGACCAAGCCTCCTAATGATAGACCAAGCCTCCTAATGCTAAGACCAAAACCAAGCCTCCTATTGCTAGACCAGCCTCCTAATGCTAGACCAAGCCTCCTAATGCTAGACCAAGTCTCCTAATGATGAGACCAAGCCGCCTAATATAGGACCAAGATCCTCCTAATGATAGACCCAAGCCTCCTAATGCTAGACCAAGCCTCCTAATGCTAGACCAAGCCTCCTAATGCTAGACCAAACCAAGCCTCCTAATGATAGACCAAGCCTCCTATTGATAGACCAAGCCTCCTAATGCTAGACCAAGCCTCCTAATGCTAGACCAAACCGACCGCTATCCAACGCAGGAGAAAGTGCATTTGTTATAAAATAATATAATTTGTATTAGTGTTGCATCGGAGCTCTTATGTAATATAACCATATTCAATTTCAGTAGTACGTCTTAGAGTGATGAACTGTGCCATCCCCACGGCCTCCACAATGGATCAGTCCACTCAGACAGGCCTCCACAATGGATGAGTCCACTCAGACAGTACACAGTAATATATATATATTTTATTTTTATTGCTACTGCTCGAAATCTAGGTCGACCAACAGCCTATCTTCCAAACAATCGACCAGTCGACTAAATGGGGGTCAGCCCTAATCCAGAGCATCCCAAAAATGCTCAACGGGCATCCCAGAAATGCTCAATGGGTGACATGTCTGGTGAGTATGCAGGCCATGGAAGAACTGGGACATTTTCAGCTTCCAGGAATTGTGTACAGATCCTTGCGACATGGGGCTGTGCATTATCACGCTGAAACATGAGGTGATGGCAGTGGATGAACGGCACGACAACGGGCCTCAGGATCTCGTCACAGTATTTAAATTGCCAACGATAAAATGCAATTGTGTTCGTTGTCCATAGCTTATGACTGACCATACCATAACCCCACCATGGTGCACTCTGTTCACAATGTTGGCATCAGCAAACTGCTCGCCCACAGGATGCCAACTGCCCGGTACAGTTTAAACTGGGATTCATCCGTGAAGAACACACTTCTCCAGCGTGCTTGTGGCCTTCGAAGGGGAGAATTTGCCCACTGATGCCGGTTACGATGCCGAACTACAGTCAGGTCAAGGCCCTGGTGAGGATGACGAGCACGCAGATGAGCTTCCCTGAGACGGTTTCTGACAGATTGTGCAGAAATTCTTCGGTTGTGCAAACCCACGGTTTCATCAGCTGTCCGTGTGTCCGGGTGGTTAGTCTCAGGCTATGCCCCAAGTGAAGCCGCCGGTGTGTAGGTCCTGGGCTGGCCTGGTTACACGTGGTCTGCGGTTGTGAGGCCGGTTGGATGTACTCTCAAATCCTCTAAAAGAATATTGGAGGCAGCTTATGGTAGAGAAATGAACATATTTGACATTTTAGTCATTTAGCAGACGCTCTTATCCAGAGCGACTTACAGTTAAGTGAGTGCATACATTTTCATACTGGCCCCCCATGGGAATCGAACCCACCACCCTGGCGTTGCAAACGACCATGCTCTACCAACTGAGCTACACGCCATTCTCTGGCAATAGCTCTGGTGGACATTCCTGCAGTCAGCATGCCAATTGCACACTTCCTCAAAATTTGAGACCTCTGTGGCAATGTCTTGTGTGACAAAACTGCCACTCTAAAATGTGCAGTATTGTCACACAAGACATTGCCACAGACGTCTCAAATTTTGAGGTGCACAAGGTGCACCTGTGTAATTGATCATGCTGTTCAATCAGCTTCTTGATATGCCACACCTGTCAGGTGGATGGATTATCTTGGCAAATGAAAAATGCTCACTAACAGGGATTTAAACAAATTTGTGCACAACATTTCAGAGAAATAAGCTTTTTGTGCATATGGAACATTTATGGGATATTTTATTTTAGCTCGTGAAACATGGGACAAACACTTTACATGTTGCGTTTTTTATTTTTGTTCAGTATAAGATTGTGGCTGCTACAAGTTAGCTAGTCTTGTCTGTAGCTTAGTAGAGTCTCTCTCTCTCTGCCTCCGCCTGCTCGCTCCCATCTCACCGGCACCTCGGCAGCTGCAGCAAATAGAGGGCCAGCCTCTCGCTCGCGCAGCAGTGCTCAAGTTAAAAAAATGTACAGGGTTTTAAAAAAATTTACATATAAATTACACACAAAAACTGCCCTCAATAACATATTTCCACTATCCGGATATCCAACAAAAATTCATTATACTATTCTAATAGTAAAATGATTTCAAACCCCAATCCCTACTTTGGATATACAGTGGGGGAAAAAAAAGTATTTAGTCAGCCACCAATTGTGCAAGTTCTCCCACTTAAAAAGATGAGAGAGGCCTGTAATTTTCATCATAGGTACAACGTCAACTATGACAGACAAATTGAGAAAAAAAAAAATCCTGAAAATTACATTGTAGGATTTTTAATGAATTTATTTGCAAATTATGGTGGAAAATAAGTATTTGGTCACCTACAAACAAGCAAGATTTCTGGCTCTCACAGACCTGTAACTTCCCTACTTTGGATATATGAGGAAACAAGATGAGAAAAATTATCTGTTGGAAAGTGCTCAGCAGGAAGAGGTTCTGGGCTTGTACACAGTGTCACTTTTAGTCTACCGTGTGAGCCTATCCTTTTAGTCTACCGTGTGAGCCTATCATTTTTAGTTACCGTGATGAGCCTATCCTTTTAGGTCTACCGTTTGAGCCTATCCTTTTAGTCTACCGTGTGAGCCTTCCTTTTAGTCTACCGTGTGAGCCTATCCTTTTAGTCTACCGTGTGAGCCTATCCTTTTAGTCTACCGTGTGAGCCTATCCTTTTAGTCTACCGTGTGAGCCTATCCTTTTAGTCTACCGTGTGAGCCTATCCTTTTAGTCTACCGTGTGAGCCTATCCTTTCAGTCTACCGTGTGAGCCTATCCTTTTTAGTCCGACCGTGTGGAGACCATATCCTTTCAGTCTACCGTGTGAGCCTATCCTTTCAGTCTACCGTGTGAGCCTATCCTTTTAGTCTACCGTGTGAGCCTATCCCCGATCTACTACTGCAGAAGTGACACTTGGCCTTCATTCTCGATTCTGTCAGGGGAGAGGACAGGTGTAGCCTGGTCCCAGATCTGTTTGTACTCTCTTGCCAACTCCATTCGCTGCTCATTGTCAAGCAAATGACAAGGAGTTGGCATGATAGCACAAAGAGACTGGAACTCAGGCTAGAAGAGGACAGGTCCACAGACAGGGTCGGGACTCAGGCTAGAAGAGGACAGGTCCACAGACAGGGTCGGACTCAGGCTAGAAGAGGACAGGTCCACAGACAGGGTGGGACTCAGGCTAGAAGAGGACAGGTCCACAGACAGGGTGGGACTCAGGCTAGAAGAGGACAGGTCCACAGGACAGGGTCGGACTCGGCTAGAAGAGGACAGGTCCACAGACAGGGTGGGACTCAGGCTAGAAGAGGACAGGTCCACAGACAGGGTGGGACTCAGGCTAGAAGAGGAAGGTCCACAGACAGGTGGGACTCAGGCTAGAAGAGGACAGGTCCACAGACCGGGTCGGGACTCAGGCTAGAAGAGGACAGGTCCAACAGGACAGGGTTGGGACTCAGGCTAGGGACAGGTCCAAGGGACAGGTGGGACTCGGCTAGAAGGACAGGTCCACAGACAGGTCGGACTCAGCTACTAGAAGAGACAGGTCCCACCGACAGGGTGGGACTCAGGCTATGAAAAGAAGGGACAGGTCCACAGACCGGGGTGTGACTTCAGGCTAGAAGGAGGACAGGGTCACAGGAACAGAGGTGGGACTCAGCTAGAGGAGGGACAGGTCCACAGGGACAGGGTGGCGACCTCAGGGCTAGAAGAGGACCAGGTCCAACAGACAGGGTCGGACTCAGGATAGAAGAGGACAGGTCCCACAGACAGGGTGGGAACTCAGGCTAGAAGAGGACAGGTCCACAGACAGGGTCGGACTCAGGCTAGAAGAGGACAGGTCCACAGACAGGGTGGGACTCAGGCTAGAAGAGGACAGGTCCACAGACAGGGTGGGACTCAGGCTAGAAGAGGACAGGTCCACAGACAGGGTGGGACTCAGGCTAGAAGAGGACAGGTCCACAGACAGGGTGGCTTTGAAGGTGGCGAAGCTGAAGGGCTGGGGCCTGTATTAAAGTGTCTCAGAGAAGAAGTTCTGATCTTGGACCAGATCCCGGCTGTCCACATAAATCGTATTCATAATGATGTAAAAAGGCTGTACTGATCCTAGATCAGTACTCCTATGCTTTATGGATACAGCCCTGACGTTACAGTTGGGAATACAAGTAAAAAGGGGGCATTTTGAATATAAAAGGACGACTAGTGTGTATGATTAAAGAGAGTCTACTGAAGTGAAGACGTCCTCCTGTGTGCTCTGTTGCCACGGGCTGCCTCACAAATGCCACCCTATTCCCTATTCAGAGCCCTTGGCAAAAGTAGTGCGGTATAAAAAGGGAATAAGGTAACACAGACCCAACCGACCAACCAGTGCTACTTCTCATATAGCCTACGGACCAGAGCACAAGACTGAAGCAACAGGAGCCAGGTGGCACTGGCCTGGCCACATAACCAACCACTAGCAATATTGTCCTTTAGCGTCAATAATACAAACCATTTAGATTAGGAGTATCGTTCTCAGAGCAGTGAGAGAAGGGTAAATCTGTGTGTGGCGTGAATGGCCCATCAGTGTTAGCTAGCTAGAGAAGAAAAAACAAGCTTTAAATAGCTCTCTCTCTGAGAATTACCTGGAGTGGCGAAGCTCAATTTAACTCTAGCTTTAAATCCTCTTAGCGGTACTGTACTTCACGTCTCCACTGACACTAGACAGACAGACCAATCTCTTCCTACTTGTCTCTACTACTAGACAAACAGACAGACAGACAGACAGACAGACAGACAGACAGATCTGTACTACACTGCTCCATCCTCAAGACAAGAGGGGCTTCACAGTTCAGTGTTTTTACTGGCAGTAACTGAGGAATTCTAAAGAAACCAGTAACCTCATACATAACTGCTAGAAATAGGATCCTGTAATAGTGCCATTCATATAAAGCACTTCTGAGAATGCTTAATTTGTAGAGGTGAGTCCATGGGCCTACAGAGATGTGAGAGCCTTATGTCAATACAAGAGCCTTTCTTATTGCCCAGAAGAGAAGGGGTCAAGCTGACATGGTTAGCCCAACTGTAAAATGTCTTGTTTTAACAGTGCAGAGACGACCTGTTGACGCTGCCATTTCAGATATGCAGCAAACAACAGGCCAGGGAACCACAAACATTTCAGCAAGAGGACCATTTCAGCGAGTTATTGAGGCGCCGAAGAGTCCACCAAGGTCAGCATTCCATATGGCACCCTACTCCCTAATATAGCAACTATTACCCATAAGGCACTGGTCAAAAGTAGTGCACTATAGAGAATAGGGGGGCAGTGAGACGCAGACACAAAGAGCGATCCACACAGAGAGCGACCCACAATGTTCTCATGTTGCTGGAAGCCTCAAAGCTAGGCCACTTCCTGTCAGAATGAGCGCTTCCCTCGGAGATTGAGAAACCAGTGGTGCGTCTCAAACTGCACTTTATTCCCCATGGGCGCTCTGGTCAAAAGTAGTGTGCTATATTAGGGTAGGACTCAGACACCAGCTCCGCACCAACCACAGGGCTTATAGGGACACCAGTCACCACACAATCCACGCTTAACGCAACCACAGGCTTAAGACCAACACCACCTAGACCAACCACCAGGCCTTATAGGACCAGGCACCACCGCACGACCACAGTCATAGACGCACACCAGTTACCACCCCGCACCACCATCCAGGGCTTAGACCACAGACCTACCTCCGGCACCAACCACAGGCTTCACTGACCAACACCAGCTACACCTATAGACCAACCACAGGCTCTATAGGGACGCAGACACCAGCCACCTCCCACCACCACAGGGCTTATAGGGACACAGACACCACTCCCCCAACCACAGGGCTTATAGGCGCAGACGACCGTCAACCCTCCATACCAACCACAGGGCTTATAGGGACGCAGACACCAGTTCCACCTCCGCACCAACCACAGGGCTTATAGGGACGCAGACACCAGTTCCACCTCCGCACCAACCACAGGGCTTATAGGGACGCAGACACCACCTCCACACCAACCACAGGGCTATAGGGACGCAGACACCAGTTCCACCTCCACACCAACCACAGGGCTTATAGGGACACACACCATTCCGCACCACCAACAGGGCTTATAGGGACGCAGACCACTCCACACACCACCAAGGGCAGACGACCAACTCCACCCACCCAGCCCTTATAGGGACATCAGACACCAGCTCACCCCCACCACCCACAGGGCTTATAGGGACAGACACCACCTCCACCACCAACCACAGGACTTATAGGGACGACACCATCCACCTCCACACCAACCACAGGGCTTATAGGGACAGCAGACACCACTCCACCAACCACAGGGCTTATAGGGAGCAGACACCAGCTCCGTCCACCTCGAACCAACCACAGGGCTTAAGGGACCACCCAGACACCAGGGCTTATAGGGACCAGAACCAGCTCCACCTCCACCACCCACAGGGCTTATAGGGATGCAGACACCAGTTCCACCTCCACACCAACTACAGGGCTTATAGGGACACAGACACCAGGCTCTATACGGACACAGAACAGTTCCAACCCGACCCACCACAGGCTTCAGAACGCAGTAAGTCAGCCCACCAACCCGGCTATAGGGACACAGGTAGACCAGACACCTCCCCCACCACCAGGCTATAGGGACGGTACAACCATCACCACTCCCGAACCAACCACAGGCTTATAGGGACACAGACACCAGGGCTTATAGGACACAGACACCGCTCCACCACGCTAAACCACAGGCTAAGGATGCAGACCTCGTACCACCCGCCTAATACAGGGCTATGGACACAGACCACCAGGGCTAAGGACACAAGACACCCATTCCCCTCCGCACCAACCACAGGGCTTATAGGGACGCAGACACCAGCTCCACCACCAACCACACAAGACACGCAGACACCAGTCACCACTCCACCCCACCAACCACAGGGCTTATAGGGACGACACCAGGCTATAGGACCACAGGACAAGCCCACCTCCACCACCAACCACACTATAGGGACACAGACACCAGGGCCTTTGGACACCAGACACCAAGTTCCACCTTGGCACCAACCACCAGGGCTTATAGGGACGCAGAACCAGCTCCACCTCCACCAACCACAGGGCTTATAGGGTGCAGACACCAGCTCCACCTCCCACCAACCACAGGCTTATAGGGCAGCACCAGTTCCACCCAACCACACACAGGGCTATAGGACCCACACCACCTCCATACCAACCACAGGGCTTATAGGGACACAGACACCAGCTCCACCTCCCACCAACCACAGGGCTTATAGGGACGCAGACACCAGCTCCACCACCAACCACAGGGCTTATAGGGACACAGACACCAGCTCCACCTCCGCACCAACCACAGGGCTTATAGGGACGCAGACACCAGTTCCACCCCACCCAGACACAGGGCTATATACGGCCACAGCACACCAATCCACACTACGCACCAACAAGCTTTAGCACGCACACCACGGGACTTAAGGGACACGACACCAGTTCCACCTCCCACCAACACGGGCTTATAGGGACACACCACCCACACCACCGCCTAACCAACCAGGCTTAGTGCACAGCCAACAGGCTATACCACACCCCACCAACCACAGGGCTTATAGGGACCAGACACCAGGCTAACGACACAGACACAGTTACCACCACCCCACCAACCACAGGCTTATAGGGACGCAGACACCAGCTCCACCTCCGCACCAACCACAGGGCTTATAGGGACACAGACACCAGCTCCACACCAACCAAGCAGCAGGACCGTATCGGGACCAACCCCAGGGCTTATAGGGACCAGACACCAGTTCCACCTCGCACCAACCACAGGATTAAGGGACCGAACACCAGTTCCACCACCGCACCAACCACAGGGCTTATAGGGACGCAGACACCACCTCCACCCCCACCCACAGGGCTTATAGGGACGCAACAACCCAGGGCTTATAGGGACACAGACACCAGTTCCACCACCAACCCAAGGCTTATAGGGACGCAGACACACCCCGTTCCACCTCCAGCTAACCAACACAGGCTCTGACACCGACAACCACTAGCTCCCACCTCCACACCAACCACAGGACTATAGGGACGCAGACACCAGGCTATAGGGACCCCAGACACCAATCCACCACCGCACAAGCACTAGGACTAGGACCAGACCCACCGTCAACCTGACGCACCACACAGGCTATGGGACCCACCTCTGCCACTCCACCAACCACAGCTATAGACAGACACCAGGGCTTATAGGGACACAGACACCAGTTCCACCTCGCACCAGACCAGACTAGACGCAGCCCACACCAGTTCACACCCGCACCAACCCAGCTTATGGACGCAGCACACCACCGCATCCGCACAACCACAGGCTATAGGGACCAACCACAGGGCTTTAGGGACAGCAGACACCAGTCCACCTCCGCCAACCACAGGGCTTAGGGACGCAGACACCAGTTCCACCTCCGCACCAACCAAGGCTTATAGGGACACAGACACCAGGCTTATAGGACCCCAGGCACTAGCCTCACACAACCACCAGGGCATAGGGACACAGACACAGGGCTTATAGGGACGCAGACACACCACCCCGCACTAACACGGACTATAGGACGCAACCACAGCTTCAACCAACAAGGCTTCAAGGCCACCACAGCAAGCCAGTCCCACCACGGCTTACAGACCACAGACACCAGGGTCCACCTCCGCACCAACCACCAGGCTATAGGGACGGAACCAGTTCCACCTCCGCACCAACCACAGCATAGGGACACAGGACCATTCCACCCCTCCACACCAACCACAGGCGTTAAAGAACGGGCTATGTGGTACACAGACACATTCCACTCCACACCAACCACAGGTTATAGACACAGTACACCAGCTCCACCTCGCCAACCCACAGGGCTTATGACACAACACCAGCATTCAACCTCCCACTGCAACCACAGGGATTATAAGGCTACAGACTACCAGGGCTTATAGTGGACAGGACCCGTTCCACCTCACACAACACAGGCTTATAGGGACACAGACACCAGCTCCACCTCCGCACCAACCACAGGGCGTTTAGGGACGCAGACACCAGCTCCGCCTCCACACCAACCACAGGGCGTTTTAAGAGTATGAGACATGTTGTTCACACTTCTAGTCAGCGTAGCAAAAGACGTGAAATTGAGGAACACTAATAATAATAACTCATTTAACTTTTATAGCACTTTTCAAAGAATCTCCAAGCACATTAAAAAGTAAAACAAACCATTGAAATGATGGGAGATTGAAAGTCTCTAGTCGGCTTCAGATGAAGTTGAAGCAGTTTGGTCTGGAAAGGCAGTATAGGTTGACTGACATCAGACAGTGATATCAAACATGGTCGTAATTCCAAGATGTTATCACAATAAAAAGGTCACCAGTCAACTCTAGAGCCCAACTGATTTATCTGTTCACCGTTATCGTCGGCCATTCCACCGATAAAAAGGATGAAGAAAGGGAATCTCATTCTGATCTGAACATAAGATCCCCTCAGTTACTGACATTCTCGTGATATGTCATTATGGTCACAATGTAAGAAAACATTCTAAGCATATTTCTTGGACAATTGCGCTTTTGGATGGCAATTCTATGAGAAATTACACTTTTTAATTTCCCCACTGTGAAACAGTATAAATCGGTAAGTTTTGTCCCTCCCAAAAATCTGAATAGGACCCCCAAAAAAAAAAAACATATTGGTTGGGCTCTAGTCAACTCACTCTCTACAAACATTCCAATGCCCACGGTGGTATTAAAGTAAATGGGCATTGAGACATTGAATATCATTCTGGTAATACTGAGTCATTACAAAAGGGACCACAAGGTAGAGATTTCTTTGGTCCTGGTACACACTACATGCCACATCTACAGTACAAGGTGACTGTTCGCAAAGCCTTTGAGAAGGGCCTGTGTGTGTGTGTGTGTGTGTGTGTGTGTGTGTGTGTGTGTGTGTGCCTGCCTGAGAACCAGTCCACTCCCAAGCAGCTCCCACTCCCTCCCTCAATGCCTGCCTCCCTCCCTCCCGGTTTCTCCTTCCCTCTCTTTCCCTGTCCCTGCCTGGCCTGTCTTACCAGCACCGTCACTCCACCTGGACAAACCTGTTCCATCGCACCTGGTCACAGGTGTACAGGTGTTTACCCGACTGACTGACTGACTGACGCTCTGACTGACAAGATGGAGGACAGGAATAAGACAACTGAATCATGTTAAAACAAGATGTCTTGGCCTGTGTTGACACGTTTCTTAGCCTTTACCATAACCCCATGCCCCAAAGTGCAACTGATTAGACATTAGGTTCATGTTCTGATGAGTGTTCCAAAGTATCCCCTGGGAATATAGGCAATGTGGTGGGGGTGTTACTAGTACCCTAGGTTGAGAACCTCTCTTGGTCTCCTAATGGACCACGTAAAAGCTTCCACTTTTAGGTCTATGTTCTTATGAGTCTTCCAAGGCATCACATGAGATACAGTAAACTGAAGTGATACTAGCAAGAGCACTGTGCAAGGTTTTTTTTTTTTTTTTTTTTTAAAGATAGCAAATTATACCCACCCGCAACAAACCGACTCAGATATGCGAGTGCTTCTTCTACTTTGAACGAGGCACCACGTAAAAGCTTCCGCTACTGTGCAGCTGCTTCTTCACGTGACTTCTAGTAAACCTGATGTTTCCACACCACAAGACAACACACTGGAATGGCCTCGTTGTACTACACTATATCCTATGGCCAGGGCCCTGGTCAAAAGTAGTATACTATTTAAGGAATAGGCAGCCATTTGGGATGCATCCTCTCTAAGGATCTCTGTGACATTTAGTCACGGAAGGGAACAGAAGAGGCCCCCCCGTGTAGCTCAGTTGGTAGAGCATGGCGCTTTCAACGCCAGGGTTGTGGGTTCGATTCCCACGGGGGAGCCAGTATGAAAAATGTATGCACTCACTTAACTGTAAGTCGCTCTGGATAAGAGCTAAATGACTAAAATGTAAAATGTAAGAGTAAAGGATTTATGTTTCAGTTATTAAAAGACAGATCAACTCTATGGTTTTGAGCAACAGGGATTTTTTACTATGTGTTCAACCACTAAGCCTGAGTTAACATGTATTTAACATCTCACAAGATGCAGAGAAGCCATCCCCACAACACAAGTGCCTCATTTAAAATGCAACCTTTATCTATATAGGTTGGTCTAAGGAAAGACTCTTCTTCAAGAGAGACCCGTCATCAACAGTTGTATGATGATGGGGGAAAAAACACTTAGCCTGGTCCCAGATCAGTTTGTGCTGTCTTGCCAACTCCTATGGTCAATGTCACACCAAGGCACACCAAGACGGCACAAACAGATGTGGGACCAGGCTCGGGGGAACCACCCAGTATGAACCTGCTTGTCTTCAATGACAGTAGGTTAGTTAATCAGCTGGTGTTTGTCTGGGTGGCAGGCTGGAGGCACAAAGCCCCTCTGGTGGTAATCCTCCTAATCTGGATCACATAAGCATCACTGAGTCCCAAATGGCACCCTATTCCCTACCTTTGACTAGAGCCCCATGTGGCCTGGTCAAAAGTAGTGGACTATAGAAGGGGAAAGGGTGCCATTTGGGTCACATTCAGTGCATTCGGAAATGTCCACATTTTGTTATGTTACAGCCTTAATCTAAAATGGATTAAATAAATAAAAATCTTCCTCAATCTACAGAATATCCCATAATGACAAAGTGAAAACAGGTTTTACAAATGTTTCTAAATAAATAAAAAAATACATAAAACAAACTGAAATAGCTTATTTACATTAGCATTCAAACCTGTTGCAATGAAACTCGAAATTGAGCTCAGGTGCATCCTGTTTCTATTGATCATCCTTGAGATGTTAATCTGTGCCCTGAACCCGCACGATAAATACATATTTGGCAAGTGGCAAAACCCAGCTAGCACATAACGTTCTGAGAACCATATCTTTCTATGAGTTTGGTGAGAGCCTGGTTGTCCTATGGATATTTTGCATACAACCTTCCCACAAGGTTCTGGGAATGGTGCAGGATACCCAGTTTCCTTGACTTTTTCCACATTTTGTTACGTTACAGCCTTATTCTAAAATGGATTAAATAAAACATTTCCTCAGCAATCTACACACAATACCCCATAATGACAAAGCGAAAAATTGTTTTTAGAAATTTTTTGCAAATAAAAACCAGAAATACCTTATTTACATAAGTATTCAGACACTTTGCTATGAGACTCCAAATTGAGCTCAGGTGCATCCTGTTTCCACTGATCATCCTTTAGATGTTTCTACAACTTGATAGGATTCCACCTGTGGTAAGTTCAATTGATTGGACATGATTTGGAAAGACACACACCTGTCTATATAAAGGTCCCTCAGTTGACAGTGCATGTCAGAGCAAAAACCAAGCCATGAGGTCGAAGGAATTGTCCGTAGAGCTCCGATTCAGGATTGTGTCGAGGCACAGATCTGGGGAAGGGTACCAAACAAATGTATTCAGCATTGAAGGTCCCCAAGAACACAGTGGCCTCCATCATTCTTAAATGGAAGAAGTTTGGAACCACCAAGACTCTTCCTAGAGCTGGCCGCCCGGCCAAACTGAGCAATCGGGGGAGAAGGGCCTTGGAGGTGACCAAGAACCTAATGGTCCCTCTGACAGAGCTCCAAAGTTCCTCTGTGGAGATGGGAGAACCTTCCAGAAGGACAACCATCTCTGCAGCACTCCACCAATCAGGCCTTTATGGTAGAGTGGCCAGACGGAAGCCACTCCTCAGTAAAAGGCACATGACAGCTCGCTTGGAGTTTTCCAAAAGGCACCTAAAGGACTCTCGGACCATGAGAAACAAGATTCTCTGGTCTGATGAAACCAAGATTGAACTCTTTGGCCTGAATGCCAAGCGTCACGTCTGGAGGAAGCCTGGCACCATCCCTTCGGTGAAGGATGGTGGTGGCAGCATCATGCTGTGGGGATGTTTTTCAGCGGCAGGGACTGGGAAACTTGTCAGGATCGAGGGAAAGATGTTTTTGCTTTGTCATTATGGGGTATTGTGTGTAGATTGATGAGGGGGGGGGGGGGAAACAATTTAATAAATTTTAGAATAAGGCTGTAACGTAACAAATGTGGAAAAAGTCAAGGGGTCTGAATTCTTTCCGAATGCACTGTAGTTTTTTGGTGGATATCCTGTAAACCACAAATAAATGTTCTTAAATAATTTTTATATTTGAGTATCTTTTAATCCTTTATAGTTAATTACCACTCAAATTGAGTCATTTTCATGCACACAGTAAGTAGAGAGGTATTGTATAGTTAGATCTAACTCACCTGGTTCCAGTTTAATAATCTTGACAGCGGCAAGCTCTCCCGTTTGGATGTTTCGAGCCTGAAAGAGAATAAAAGAGTGGGGACCGGGGAGCCAGTCATTGTTGGGGAGTGTAAAATAATTGCATAATATCATGAAACCCCTGTTATCAGATAGGCCTATATTGGGGGGGCAGAATTCAAACTGATAAAATGGTGTTACTGTTTATCCCTATCCATTAGTCACTAGTTAGTTCAGTTCATTGGGGCTGAGGTTCTTCATACTGGCCAAACCAGAGAGAGACACCACCAGACAGTCCAGCATTAGGTCACGATTCAGTGTTTCCATCTGGGCCGGAGGAAGTAGATTGCCACCAGCCTCAAATCCATCTCAAGACGCTAGGCTAGGGTCTGTCTCCTAAGACGCTAGGCTAGGGTCTGTCTCCTAAGACGCTAGGCTAGGGTCTGTCTCCTAAGACGCTAGGCTAGGGTCTGTCTCCTAAGACGCTAGGCTAGGGTCAGTCTCCTAAGACGCTAGGCCTGGGTCAGTCTCCTAAGACGCTAGGCCTGGGTCAGTCTCCTAAGACGCTAGGCCTGGGTCTGTCTCCTAAGACGCTAGGCCTGGGTCTGTCTCCTAAGACGCTAGGCCTGGGTCTGTCTCCTAAGACGCTAGGCCTGGGTCAGTCTCCTAAGACGCTAGGCCTGGGTCTGTCTCCTAAGACGCTAGGCCTGGGTCTGTCTCCTAAGACGCTAGGCTAGGGTCTGTCTCCTAAGACGCTAGGCTTGGGTCTGTCTCCTAAGACGCTAGGCTTGGGTCTGTCTCCTAAGACGCTAGGCTAGGGTCTGTCTCCTAAGACGCTAGGCTAGGGTCTGTCTCCTAAGACGCTAGGCTAGGATCTGTCTCCTAAGACGCTAGGCTAGGGTCTGTCTCCTAAGACGCTAGGCTAGGGTATGTCTCCTAATGGCGTCCGCGTACATAGGTTCGGTTTGCTCCTAGAAGAACTCGGCTAGGCGAAGCGAACATCTGGGCTCGTACACTCCCTAAAAGACCTTCGCTTGAAAAACTTGAAGTAAAAGAAGCAATTTTATTGTCGTTTGTCCCTCGAGACACCGTAGCAACTTCATAGCCACTATTAGCCAGTAACACTTCCTCAAAATATTGATAATGAATTGAAGATAAATAAAAAATATTGACGTTTTATGCAGAATAGGTCTTAGTTGCGCAATCTAGCTAAGTTGTTTGGTGTAGAAACTTAAAGTGAAAGAATGTGCATGAAAACTAGTAGTGCACTGCATTCAGAAGGGCCTAGCTGCTGCTACACTCTCCCTCGTGGATGGCAGAGAACACTTCGTTGAAGAATCCCGTCCATAGTTCCCACCCCTACAGTTGACCAATCACCGACGAAGGGGCGTAGACGTCAGCTACCGAATTTCGACTTGATTCAAGAAAAAGAATGTGCGCACGAACGGCCGGGAAAAAAAAAAAAACTTGCCGAACACCAAAACGAACTATAACGTCACTAGATTTCGGCATTAATACATGTGAACTGTTTCAAGGGGTTCATGCTAGCAGATACCCATAGACTTCCAGTCATTGCGCTAATGCTAGTTAGCATTGGCTCGCGAAACTACCTCTAACTAATCTGGCGGGCTAGTTGGGTACATTTTCTACAAACCTGGTCTGATATGGGCTAGCTTAATTTCCATCCCTGGATGAAACACGTCAAAACTGTTCATCAAAAGAGACAGACGAGCCGAGTAACAAAACAACCAATCAAACTCAACCCCTATGGGTTTACTTCCTGGTCCTCTCAGTTGCACAAATATCTCCAACCCATCTGTGCACTACAGCAGACCAAAGTCATTGTTTAGTGGAGGACTTTTAAAATCTGATGTATTTCCGCTGTCAGTGAGGCAAAGAACACTCCCATTCTTGGCACGTTTAGACAAGGACCTGATCGTATTTCACTCTGCCTGCCGTAGTCCTGGGCTGCATATCAAAAAATAGCACACTATTCCCTATTTAGGGCACTACTTTAGACCAGGGCACAGCACTAAATAGGGAATAGTGTGCCAGTCGGGGCTCAACCCTGGGCATTGCATGTTCATGGCTCTCTCCCGGGGAAAATACCAGGCACTGCATTCCACCAGTGGCCTGCCTCGGCTGTCCGGCTGGGGTGGCCCTGTGTCTGGGCTGGGACTGGCCTGCCTCGGCTGTCCCTGTGTCTGGGCTGGGACTGGCCTGCCTCGGCTGTCCCTGTGTCTGGGCTGGGACTGGCCTGCCACGGATTGCTTTGTGAGGCGAAGGCTTGACAGACTGGCTGCTTCAACTATCTCACACTGGAGCTAATTGGTAGCCTAGTCATCCATTACAAATAGGTAAACAAAAACGTATGCAACTGTCTGCACAATCCTGATTTTCAACATGGGAACAGACAGGGAAATGTCTAGTTTGTTAGGCTCAAATCCAAATGAATTCAAACAAATTGTCCCTTTGTTGAGTAAATACACACTCCTCTCTCTCTCTCTCTCTCTCTCCTCATAACTCTGCCAGGAAAATGGGAAACTGGAGTTGGATCGTTCCTAGCTTTCCCTACCAATCCATCTAACTTCTACTTTAACCACATGTTCCATCAAAGAATAACAGAGGTGGGGGGGGGGTTGCAGTACAATGCTTTATTACATGGGGTATTTCCCAAATGGCACCCTATTCCCTATATAGTGCACTACTTTAGACCAGGGCACATAGGGCTCTGGTCAAAAATAGTGCACTATATAGGGAATATGGTGCCATTTGGGAGATAACCATGGGTTACTACAGGGTTACAGATGCATCCTATAATAAATAGTCTGGTGGTCCATACTGGGGAACTAAATACAACACAGGGTTACTATGAAAAATGACCTGACAAAGATCTGTTTTTTTGGCAGCGAATAACATCAGAAAGCCATTTCATTCCTCCTTCCCAGTTATAAGCAGGGTACTGTGTATCATCGCTATCGTAGAAGGATTCTGGTTCTGACTGTACATGAAGTACGTGGAACTGCTTGGCAATGTTCTGACAACCTCTGTAGCTCAGCTGGTAGAGCACGGCGCTTGTAACGCCAGGGTAGTGGGTTCGATCCCCGGGACCACCCATACACAAAAATGTATGCACGCATGACTGTCAGTCGCTTTGGATAAAAGCGTCTGCTAAATGGCATATTATTATTATTATTATTATTCAAAACATATGAAAGGATATTGGCTCAATCCATCTGTGTAGCTACTTGATGATATAAAAACAGGTGTAGACCTAGAATTTTTATCCACAATGTCGTCGCTACATCATTATGACTGAATCTGAAGCCGACCAGGGTTCCTCAACTGGTTTTATTTGGCCCCCCAAGTATTCTAAATAAAAAAGTTGGAGACAATTTTTGTGTGGAATTTTCATTGTTGGACATAAAAGACTTAAAAAAAAAAAAAAAAAAAAAAGGAAATCAGCTCCAAGTGATTTTAATTTAAGAAATCTGTTCCCAAGTATTCCCACGCATAATAGAGAGACACGTGATCATATACAAATGTAAGCAAGGTTTGAAATTACTATGTTTTAATCAAACATTATTTCTGTTTGGGCTTCTTGCGGTCAATTTGCAGTATACAAATTATTTATTATAATTATGTTCCGGCACCTCGACTATTCGCTCAAGAAAAAAATTGGCCCGTGGCTGAAACTAGTTGATGATCCCTGTGGTAACCTACTGCATACTACTGTATGTGGAACCCAAGGCAGTGGAGTGATATGGTGGGCAGATGCTAGACTCAGCACGAGTAAATGAAATCCTTTGTGGTAGGTGACTCACCACTCTAAATAAAGCCTCAACAAAACTTCACAAGACAGCTCCCTTCAAAACAGGCAAAAGTGAATTTACGAAAATGGATAACTAAGAGCTTGATAACGTATATAGGTATACGTTTCCTATTGACTTCAGGCTGCATTAACATGCCATGTAGATGAGCATTCACTTCAGTTTCCATTCAAAAACTCAAAATGCCCCTGTAACACCGCTGGCACACCGACAACAGCAAAGGTTCTGTGCTTTGCATCAAGGTGCTCAGTAGGCTATACAACATACACCATCGCAGAACTTCACTAACAATCTTGGATATAAAAGCGAAACACATTGAGAGAGAATTGAACTACGGGCCTAGGGGAGTGAAATCCAACCTTGACAACTTTCACGTCAGTAACTCTGGCCAGATTTCAATAGGAATTAGCTAGGGGATAGAATCACTCAAGCACAAGGATCTAGTGCCTCCCAACAGGTGTGTGTGCTTGTTTTGGTTAGATAAAGATCTAAATTCAGAACACCCAAATCTGATTCAGACTGTTTATTCAGTTTGATGGTAGCTTAAAAAAATACCTTGTATACGTCTCCATATGTGCCGCTCCCAACTCGTTGAATAAGCTCGAAATCCTGCTGTGGGTTTTTTCTTTGAATTTCTCCACTAGGTCTTGGAAAGATATCCATAGCAGCTAGGTAATTGGCTGGATAGCTTGTCAACACCTAGCTACTCCACTTTACATTTAGCTAGCTAGCTAGTTAGCTTGTGCAAATACACGTCACTATCATTCAGTGAGGAGTACTTCAAGTTGTGATAACTCGCTTCTCTAAAGCTGCAGAAGTGCTGCTTCCAAATCTGCCCTCCGGTCCATTTCCTGAAAGTGAGACAAAGAAGAAAATAAAAGTTAATGAGGAAACCTCTAGCTAATAGCCTGGTGCCTTGAACTGGACTGACCACCTGCACTGACTCTCTGCACCTTAGCACACATGCATGTGGTCCTATGTAGCTCAATTGGTAGAGCATGGCGCTTGTAATGCCAGGGTAGTGGGTTCGATCCCCGGGACCACCCATACGTAAAAATGTATGCACATGACTGTAAGTCGCTTTGGATAAAAGCGTCTGCTAAATGGCATATTATATTATATGCACTCACTCTCACACCTGCTGCTACCAGACTCTTATTTATTATTGCTAAATATTGCACAGTTTAAACTCTTACCCCCCAATCCCCCCCTTCCCCAAAACACGTGTAAATATTGGACTATAAATTGTGCCTTCCATTCCTATACTTCTGCTATAATGTTAATTATACTCTGACATTTACTTTATGTTCGTATTCTTATATTTTACAATTTCTTATTGTTGTTGCATTGTCGAGAAGGTACATTTCGTTGGACGGTGTATAGTAAGTTATACCATGTGTATCCTGTACATACTACTAATAAAACTTGAAACGTTAAGGTAGCTAGAAACCACAGATATAATTTCTGAACACAGAGTCAAGAATCAACCTATTTGCTGGCCAGCCGGTTAGGTTGAGGCTAGCAAGCAAGCTAACGGTAACTAACTACGAAAAAGTCAGCAGATAAACAATATATTGATCATTGAATTTATATAACGTTATAGTTCAACAAAATTGCTAACCCTCTGTAACGCTAGAGTAAACCAAATTACCCGAGCGATATTAATCTGTTTTTCAGAACGTAACGTTAGCTAACTTTTGTTTTTCATCCTCTCCTTCTAATAAGGGACTAATTCAGACCTGGGACACCAGGTGAATGCAATTAACTACCAGGTACAAACAAACAAACAAAAGTGTTTCGCCCTTCCACTCCAGGATCAGGAATTGGCAGCCCTGCTTAGAGCTACCGTTAGCTATCTAGTTAGCATCCCAAACTAACATTAGCTAGCTAACATTAAGCTAACCGTTAGATAATCCCAACGTCTGCTCCACTTACCATTTACTCCATATACGTTTGACATACGAAAGTCATATGTTCAATTTGGCAATATTATGGTGTCAATTCCTTTTCATCCAAAAAGTAATGATTTGTTCCTCGGAGAAAGTGTAAACTTCTGCTGGCTGCTCACTCTACCTCAACAACGGCAACCGTAGCTTGGCTGGAACTCCAACCTCCCGTTCTCGACGTTTCCATGTCATTTCCTCCTGTTGACACACGAGCTGCTACTAACTACTGAACATGTACTTTATGTCACCCATGCGTTCAACTGTAAAGGCTAACTAGATTGCAAGAAAACCATAACAACTAGCATAATTGAATCGATCATAAAAAGCTATTGAAAGCATTGTTTTTATCAAGACGTAGTGACTGTCCCTCTGAGAACTTATGTGCAACTACCGCCACCTAGCGATGCAAACAAGCAAGCAACTGTAACGGAGAAGAAGAGTTAGTTAGCAGTATCCTTTATCTGAAACGTCCGTAAAAAACAAAACGAATAACATTGAAACAGCATCCCCTGGCGGCTGATACAAATACTGCACACCCAACTCCCGTCAGCTTCAGCATCCTCCCTTTTATGAGCATCCTCCTCCGTGACGGATTGAAGAGGTGCTCCCGTTGCTCCGGTGTCTACATGACAGCCGTTTAGGATTGCACGTACATTCAACAGAAAGGAACACCATGGCGAGAAACCGTAAAGACAGAGACAGCTGGGGTGAGTGGTTAATAATTATGAATATGACTAAATTGGTCATCTGTAGAAACACCTAATAAGGGGTTCGCTAGGCTATGGAGAGTCTCAGAAATGCAGCTGAAGGGATGTTTGTGCATGAATCGTGATGTAGCAGTCGTTGTTGTCAGAACAAATCGTTATTATATATCTATTTCATTCTCAACCACCGCAGAAACGCTGGCCCCGCTGATAAACTAATGTAAACCCAAGCCAAGCGTCTCCTATATTCACTCTACAGGCCAGTGCGGCGTCTGTCTTGGCATCCCCATCCACGCACCCTTGGAATTATTCTGGCATAGAATAACGAAAGACAGCAGTACAAACACAAATCTAGAATTAACCAGTACTGGATCATTAAATACCTGTCAAGGCAATGCTACAGGCTATAGGGGGTATGGGTGGACCTGAAGCAAACAGATGGCATCGTCCTTACCATTACATTTCACTCACAGCTATCGACATGTATCTCTTTGTTTTTCTATTGGTGTTTTTCCTCATATCTGTTTGATAAACACCAACTGTGCCATGTATCATTTGGGGCCGTTATCACATAGTAAAAATTAGCTTGTTACAACCATCATCATTAGACAGACTAAAAGCTGTCAGGTATTCAACATAATGTAGCTTATTATGATAGCTAAGATGACTGGTTTGGAAGCCATAGGGTGGCATGAAATGCTATTGCTTATTATCAAAGAGAACTGAGCAGTAATGAGCATTGACTCAGTTACATTTACACTAGAGTAGACCTAGACTCTTCTCTACTGATTCTGAAGCTGCTCTGAGGCAGGAGGAGCAAGGAGCAGCTAGTCTGGAGGTTGGTTGGGTGTGTTGGGTTTCTGTCCCAAATGACCCCCTATTTCCCTATGGGCCCTGGTCGACAGTAATGGACTACATAGGGAATAGGAAGCCATTTGGGACGTAGCATTTATGTGGAGAGAAAGACGTTTGTCTGTTAATTTAGGACAGGCGTCATTGCTTTTGCTTTGGCCTTTGTTAGTGAGAATAAATAAATGTCCCAGTCTAGTCCAGACCTGAGAAACATAGGAGGATAGGACTGTTTTAAATTATTAACTGTGTTCTGCACCCTTCATTCATTTTAATGCTCCAAAACAGTCCCTTCCTTTCCCGCCTACAGTATTAGTCCGTTTTAGCATTAATGAGGCTCCGTCCCAAATGGCACCCTATTCCCTATGTAGTGCACTACTTTTTTTTTTTTTCCAGGGTCCATGGTGTTAGTATGTAACTACATAGGGAACAGGGTACCATTTGGGACCAGCCTTGCTATGTTTGTTATGTCACACGAATCTCTCATCTCTTACGTCATCTGATCTTACAAATGCAGAATTAGAGCTTGGAGTGGTTGTGGGTGATGATCAGATATCCTTAGAGATTTTGTCAGAGAGAGAGAGAGAGAGTAGGTGTTCTATCTATCAAGCCTTATCTGCGTTAGCAGCCAGCTAACCTGTTCATGCTAACCCAAGACATTACTTCAAGGAAAGAACATGATGAAATGTTGTCTACTGTCAACCAAACACACACCGATAGACAGCCACCAACACCATACCGTGACTCTATGCCCCTCTGTATTCTCCCTGTAAGTGCACTAGACTAGCTAGGATTTTGCGGCCTACACAACCACCAGGCCTCTGGAGACTGTGGAGAGGCAGGCAGATTGCAGGCAGACTGAGTCACTGCCTGCCCGGAAAGCTTCTCTATCTCTCTCTCCGTCCATCTCTCGGTATTGGGGCTGGCAGAGAGTAGAGAGAAAGGCACATGAGCATGCTACGGATAGAGAGCTAGATTAGTCGATAGAATGCGATCTTCTATCTGATACTCTCTCTACTCTCTCTCTTCTCTCTCTTCTCTCTCTCTCTTCCTCTCCTCTCTCTCTCTCTCTCTCTCTCTCTCCTCTCATCACGGTCATCCAATAGACTCTATTCCCTCTCGTGCACTCTTTTATCTTTCTCCTCCTGCAAATGTCACTTCTTGAGTCCCATTGATGCATCCATCTCTCGTCTGAGTGCCATTCTCTTTCTTGATTTTCATCTCCCTCTCATGTGGACCAAAAGGCACCATTCCTATGTAGTGCACACTTTTGCCAAGGCCATGGGCTTTAGTCAAAGTAGTGCACGATGCTAAGGAAAGGTGCTTGGTGAACACACGTATGGTAACTGTATTGATTGAACACCGGACAGATAGTATATGGGTGCACCTAAAGGCCTCTATTCACTAGGTGTATTGCACTATTTCAATTACATTAACCGTTATTGTCATTCCGTATTGAATACATCCCGTACAGATTGTGAATGGTGTATTGTGCGGGTGGTGTTTCCTGCTGTATATCAATTGAAATGAAATTAGACTATGTCTGTAAACTAGTTAAATTATCAATTTTGTGCGCTTTGATGGCATCCTCTTTGCAGCTTACTCTTTCCCTGTTTATAGGCTAGAAAGTCTGTCTCCATTTCCCATTTCCCCTCCGAGGAAGGCATTGGGTGCCTAATGTTGGTTCGTCAAAAGATAACTGGGGGGTATTATAGGGTGTGCAGTTATGCCAGAAATGGTACCCTGTTTCCCATAGTGCACAACTGTTGACCAGAGCGTCCCAAATAGCACCGCAGACAGCAGGGCTCTGGTCAACAGGGAATAGAGAGACATTTCAGACGCACTTGGGAGCATTACAACGTAGGATGTGCAATATTCTTTCATTTTTTACATTTTACCATCACGTGACAGGGTCCTTCACAGACAAAGCCACCTACGACTGGAGCTCAGAGGAGGAGGAGCCTGATGGAAGGGCGCGGCCCATCCAGGTGCTGGTTGTCAAGGACGACCATACCTTTGAGCTGGACGAGGCGGCGCTGAGCCGGATCCTATTGGCCGAAGAGGTCCAAAACAGGGAAGTGGTGGCCATATCTGTGGCCGGGGCGTTCCGCAAGGGAAAGTCCTTCCTCATGGACTTCATGCTGCGCTACATGTACAGCCATGTGAGTTCAAAGGTCATGCTTGTGTAAATGATGGGGGATTGGTAACCTCACTCCTCAGCTTGAAATGTCTCCACCCACGCCGCCAAATGACTAGCTTTTCGGTGGCGCAGTTGGCTAAGACGTTTGGGTGGTCACGTGTTTGTGGGATAGAGGTTCCAAGACCCAGTCCCAGTGTGAGCTGGTGATACAGGAAGTGGCATTGTTCAGCGAACAACAGTGACGTCATACTTGGCTTTTGGGACTGGCATGGGTTCATGCCCCTTGACCCAGCTACGACCCATCTCTCAGCGTGAAAGAGACATGGCTGTAAACTTTGCATCAGTGTGCTGCGGTGACATAATGTGATGATTTAAGATTATTGGATGATGTGTGATTTAGGTTTTGGGGGAGTATTGGTCTATTCTCAGAAGCATTAAACTGTGCTGTCATTCCCTGCGTTTTGTCTCTGAATTCACTCATCTGTATCTATATCATTGGCTGGCCTGTATCTACGTGTGGACTCATGCTGGGCTACATCTGTGTCCATACTCCCCAGGCGTCCGAGGAGTGGCTGGGGGAGGCAGAGGAACCTCTGACAGGATTCTCCTGGAGGGGTGGATCTGAGAGGGAGACCACAGGCATTCAGATCTGGAGCGAAGTCTTCCTGGTGGACAAGCCCGATGGACGCAAGGTACCAGAGCCTGACCTTTGACCTGTAGTCACTGTTTGGTTGCATCCAAAATGGCACCCTATTCTCTACGTAGTGCACTACTTTTGACCAGAGCGTAGTGCACTACTTTTGACCAGAGCGTAGTGCACTACTTTTGACCAGAGCGTAGTGCACTACTTTTTGACCAGAGCGTAGTGCACTACTTTTGACCAGAGCGTAGTGCACTACTTTTGACCAGAGCGTAGTGTACTACTTTTTGACCAGAGCGTAGTGCACTACTTTTTGACCAGAGCGTAGTGCACTACTTTTTGACCAGAACGTAGTGCACTACTTTTGACCAGAGCGTAGTGCACTACTTTTGACCAGAGCGTAGTGTACTACTTTTTGACCAGAGCGTAGTGCACTACTTTTGACCAGAGCGTAGTGCACTACTTTTGACCAGAGCGTAGTGCACTACTTTTGACCAGAGCGTAGTGCACTACTTTTTGACCAGAACGTAGTGCACTACTTTTTGACCAGAACGTAGTGCACTACTTTTTGACCAGAGCGTAGTGCACTACTTTTGACCAGAGCGTAGTGCACTACTTTTTGACCAGAGTGTAGTGCACTACTATTTGACCAGAGCGTAGTGCACTACTTTTGACCAGAGCGTAGTGCACTACTTTTGACCAGAGCGTAGTGCACTACTTTTTGACCAGAACGTAGTGCACTACTTTTTGACCAGAGCGTAGTGCACTACTTTTGACCAGAGCGTAGTGCACTACTTTTTGACCAGAGCGTAGTGCACTACTTTTGACCAGAGCCCTATGGTTAGATTCTGTATGACGACTACATTTAAAAGGCCCAATCTGTGATTTTTACAGACGTTTTTCATCATCTAAATGTATCATACAGACCGTTGTATTACATTTACAGGTAACTGCCAAAATAAAGCAAACACTTGAGTAAATGAGGGTTCTGGCGGCTCTGTTATGGTGCAGGGTCCATTTTCCTGCCATGGTTTAGGTCCAATCAGCCCCTTAGAGGACAAGGTAAACAGCCAATAAATAGGCCTACACAGCCATTCTGAATGATCACCTTCAACCTATGGTGAATCATTTCTATCCTGATGGGAGTGGTCTCTTTCGGGACGACAATGCCCCCATCCACAGGGCACGAGTGGTCACTGAATGGTTAGATGAGCCTGAAAAATAGGTAACCATATGCGATTCTGGAGCAGCGCGTGAGACAGCGTTTTCTACCACTATCAACAAAACACCAAATGATTGAATGTTTCATGGAAGAATGGTGTCGCATCCCTCCAATAGAGTTTCACACACTTGTAGAATCTATGCCGAGGCACATTGAAGCTGTTCTGGCGGCTCGTGGCGGCCCAACGCCCTGTTCTGGTGGCTCGTGGCGGCCCAACGCCCTGTTCTGGCGGCTCGTGGTGGCCCAACGCCTTATCAAGACACTTTATGTCGGTGTGTGTTCTTTATTTTGGCAGTTACCTGCACATACCAATTGATTCTTAAAGAATATCACTTATGAATTCCTCATGAGCGTAGTTAAACTGTAATAACATTAACACTGTTGAATGAAGAGTTATGTTCTCCTGTCTCGTCCCTCAGGTGGCAGTTCTACTGATGGATACTCAGGGCACGTTTGACAGCCAGTCAACGTTGAGGGATTCAGCCACTGTGTTCGCACTAAGCACTATGATCAGCTCCATGCAGGTACAATGGCTTTGGACCTAATAATAATAATAATATGCCATTTAGCAGACGCTTTTATCCAAAGCGACTTACAGTCATGTGTGCATACATTTTTTTTTTTTTACGTATGGGTGGTCGCGGGGATCGAACCCACTACCCTGGCGTTACAAGCGCCATGCTCTACCAATTGAGCTACAGAGGACCACTGTATTTGAACATAAACACAAGGGTAGATCTTCTGTGCCATCCTGGATTACCTTTGTAGAAAATGTCATAACTTTCAAGCACTTGTATCTAATTTCGCAGGTGTACAACATCTCCCAGAATGTGCAGGAGGATGATCTTCAACACTTGCAGGTAAGTAGACGGATTGATTACATCACCTACAGTATCACTGAGGTCTTTTACTGCGGAGACACTCGGATAGACGATGACACCCAGAAATGAACTGTTTCTCTTAACATGTTAAATACATTCACTTTACTTTAAATTCCTGATTGGGATCAATGTAGAATTGTTCTTTCTTGTCCTGTCTCTTCGTGGCGTTTGTAGCTCTTCACTGAGTATGGCAGACTTGCCATGGAGGAGACGTTCCTTAAACCATTCCAGGTAGGACATTTCCCGTCCTGTTATTCAGTTCTAGCCTTGTGCAAATACACCATAGACTTAGATAGACAGCTCTAGTGCCCCCCTCCATCTCTCCATCTCTCTACCCCTCCATCTCTCCATCTCTCCATCTCTCTACCCCTCCATCTCTCTCCATCCTCCACCCCTTCATCTCTTCACCCCTTCATCTCTCCACTCCTCCATCTCTCTACACCTCCATCTCGCCAACCCTCCATCCCTCCACCCCTTCATCTCTTCACCCCTTCATCTCTCCAATCCTCCATCTCTCTCTACCCCTTCATCTCTCCACCTCTCTACCCCTCCATCTCTCCACCTCTCTACCCCTCCATCTCTCCAAAGCCTGTTTTAGCACGGGCAGCACCAAGACTTTCACCAGTTTGAAGTAATCAACTGAGTGGAACTTCCTATAGGTTAAGAAAGGATCACATCAGGAGGGATCAGCCAATGAATGTAACTCCTGCGTAAACATTCCATAACTGCAGGAGGAAGTAAATCACCAACCGTGGCTTTATACCTGTTCAGACAACACCCTCCAGGTGGCAGTATGCCCCTTTTCAGTTTGTTTACTGACTCGTACAAGTAGTAGAAGAAGAAATGGACTACTTTAAAATTGAGGGAAAAAAAAAACAATTGCGTATGCCAATGCTGTCAGAGATTATCAAACAGATCCACTATCAATCAAACAGATGCAAAGAAAGGCCCTCTATCTACCTCTACCTCTATGAACCAGACTCAACGCTGTGCTCACATTTGTGAAAAAGATAAGGCTGGTTTAACAAGGCTACTTCAGTTTACCACAGCAGGAACTATAACTGTAACCTGTTACAGGCTGAATTCAAAATGGATGAAATCGTTTTTCCCCCCCCCCCCCTCATCCATCTACACACAATACCCCATAATGACAAAGTTGAAACATGTTTTTAGAAACATTTGCTAATTTATTGAAAATGAAATAGGGAAATATCTAATTTACAGTGCATCCGGAAAATATTCAGACCCCTTCCCTTTTTCCACATTTTGTTACGTTACAGCCTTATTCTAAAATGGATTTTAAAAAATTATACACATAATACCCCATAATGATGAAGCAAAAACAGGTTTTGAGAAATGTTTGCTAATGTATTGAAAATAAAAAACAGAATTACATAAGTATTCAGACCCTTTCCTATGAGGCTCAGGTGCATCCTGTTTCCATTGATCATCCTTGAGATGTTTCTACAACTTGATTGGAGTCCACCTGTGGTAAATTCAATTGATTGGACATGATTTGGAAAGGCACACACCTGTCTATATAAGGTCCCACAGTTGACAGTGCATGTCAGAGCAAAAACCAAGCCAATAGGTTGAAGGAATTGTCCGTAGAAATCCGAGACAGGATTGTGTCGAGACACAGATCTGGGGAAGAGTACCACAACAATTCCAGAAGGACAACCATCTCTGCAGCACTCAACCAATCAGGCCTTTATGGTAGAGTGGCCAGACGGAAGCCACTCCTCAGTAAAAGGCACATGACAGCCCGCTTGGAGTTTGCCAAAAGGCACCTAAAGGACTCTCAGACCATAAGAAACAAGATTCTCTGGTTTGATGAAACCAAGATTGAACTCTTTGGCCTGAATGCCAAGTGTCACGTCTGGAGGAAGCCTGGCATCATCCCTACGGTGAAGCATGGTGGTGGCAGCATCATGCTGTGGGGATGGTTTTCAGCGGCAGGGACTGGGAGACTAGTCAGGATCAAGGGAAAGATGAACGGAGCAAAGTACAGAGAGATCCTTGATGAAAACCTGCTCCAGAGCGCTCAGGACCTCAGACTGGGGCGAAGGTTCACCTTCCAACAGGACAACGACCCTAAGCACACAGACAAGACAACGCAGGAGTGGCTTCGGGACAAGTCTCTGAATGTCCTTGAGTGGCCCAGCCAGAGCCCGGACATGAACCCAATCGAACATCTCTGGAGAGACTGTGCAGCGATACTCCTAATCCAACCTGCAGAGAAGAATGGGAGAAACTCCCCAAATACAGGTGTGCCAAGCTTGTAAAGTCATACCCAAGAAGACTCTAGGCTGTAATCGCTGCCAAAGGTGCTTCAACAAAGTACTGAGTAAAGGGTCTGAATACTTATGTAGATGTAATATTTCCGTTTTTATTTTATTTCATAAAATTTGCAAACATTTCTAAAAAACAGTTTTTGCTTTGTTATTATGGGGTATTGTGTGTAGATTGATGTGGAATAAAAACAATTTAACCCATTTTAGAATAAGGCTGTAACGTAACAAAAGGTCGAAAAAGTCAAAGGGTCTGAATACTTTCCGAATGCACGTATTCACACCCCTCAGTCGATACATGTTAGAATTACAGGTGTGAGTCTTTCTGGGTAAGTCTATAAGAGCATTGCACACCTGTATTGAACAATATTTGCACATTATTCTTTTTAAAATTCTTCAAGCTCTGTCAAGTTGGTTGTTGATCATTGCTAGACAGACATTTTCAAGTCTTCCCATAGATTTTCAAGCCGATTTAAGTCAAAACTGTAACCAGGCCACTCAGGAATATTCAATGTCATCTTGGTAAGCAACTCCAGTGTATATTTGGCCTTGTGTTTTAGGTAATTGTCCTGCTGAAAGGTGAATTTGTCTCCCAGTGTGACACTCTGGCTCCGGGACGTTTGTATTTGAGCCAGGGTGTATTTTGTGTTGTTGGGTTTTGGTTTGGTTATGTTGGGCATTTGGGTGTATTTCTATGTTTGCATTTCTGGTGGTTGTATTTCTAGGTTTGGTCGATGACTCCCAATCGGAGGTAACGAGTGTCAGCTGTCGGCTCGTTATCTCTGATTGGGAGCCATATTTATTCTGTATGTTTTCCTGTGGGTATTGTGGGTTTTTGTTCTTAGTTCTGTCAGTGTTGCAGAGGACTTCACGTATCGGTCGTGTTTTGTTGTTTTGTTCCAGACTTTGATATTAATAAAGTCATGTTTCTTGGACACGCTGCGCCTTGGTCATATTTAGACGACATCGACCCTCGTGACACCCAGTGTCTGTTGGAATGCAGACTGAACCAGGTTTTCCTCTAGGATGTTGCCTGTGCTTAGCTCTATTCAGTTTATTTTTATCCTAAAAATCTCCCTAGTCCTTGCCGATGACAAGCATACCCATAACATGATGCAGCCACCATCATGCTTGAAAATATGAAGAGTGGTACTCAGTGATGTGTTGTGTTGGATTTGTCCGAAACGTAACGCTTTGTATTCAAGACATAAAGTTAATTTATTTGCTAAATTTCTTGCAGTTTTACTTTAGTGCCTTATTGCAAACAGGATGCATGTTTTGGAATATTTTTATTCTGTACAAGCTTCCTTCTTTTCACTCTGTCATTTAGGTTAGTATTGTGGCAACTGAGTTAGGAAGGACGCCTGTATCTTTGTAGTGACTGGGTGCATTGATACACCATCCAAAGTGTAATTAATAACTTCACCATGCTCAAAGGGATATTCAATGTCTGCTTTTTTTTTTTTTAAACCTATTTACCAATCGGTGCCCTACATTGTTCCCCACAGCATGAGGCATTGAAAAAGTCTTTGTGGTTGAATTTGTGTTTGAAATTCACTGCTTGACTGATAGATCTTACAGATAATTGTATGCGTGGGGTACAGAGATGAGGTAGTCATTCAAAAATCATGTTAAACACTATTATTGCACACAGAGTGAGTCCATGCAACTGATTATGTGACTTGTTAAGCACATTTTTACTCCTGAACTTATTTAGGCTTGCCATAACAAAGGGGTTGAATACTTCTTGACTCAAGACATTTCAGCTTTTCATTTTTAATTAATGTGAAAAAACTTCTACAAACATAATTCCAAATAAAATCAAATAAAATGTTATTCGCCACATACACGTGTTTAGCAGATGTTATAGCGGGTGTAGCGAATTGACAGTGCAGTAATATCTAACAATTTCACAACATATACCCAATACACACACAACTAGTAAGGAATGGGATTTAAGAATATATACATATATGGACGCGCAATGACAGAGCGGCATGGACTAAGATACAGTAGAATATTATAGAATAGAATGCAGTATATACATATTAGATGAGTAATGCAAGATATGGAAACATTATTAAAATGACTAGTGTTCCATTTCTTAAAGTGGCCAGTGATTTCAATAGGCAGCAGCAGCCTCTAATGTGCTAGTGATGGCTATTTAACAGTCTGATGGCCTTGAGATTGAAGCTGTTTTTCACTCTCCCGGTCCCAGCTTTGATGCACCTGTACTGATCTCACCTTCTGGATGATAGCGGGGTGAACAGGCAGTGGCTCGGGTGGTTGATGTCCTTGATTATCTTTTTGGCCTTCCTGTGACATCGGGTGCTGTATGTGTCTTGGAGGGCGGGTAGTTTGCCCCCGGTAAATGCGTTCGGCAGACCGCACCACCCTCTGGAGAGCCCTGCGGTTGCGGGCGGTGCCGTTTGCCATACCAGGGGGTGATACAGCCCGACAGGATGCTCTCCAATTGTGCATCTGTAAAAGTTTGTGAGGGTTTTAGGTGCCAAGCCTAATTCTTCAGCCTCCTGAGGTATGAAAATGTAATGCACTCACTAACGTGAAGTCGCTCTGGATAAGAGCGTCTGCTAAATGACTAAATATGTAAATGTAAAAAGAGGCTCTGTGCGCATTTTCACACACTGTCTGCGTGGGTACCATTTAAGTTTGTTAGGATGTGTACACCGAGGAACCTGAAGCTTTCACCTTCTCCACTGCGGTCCCGTCGATGAGGATAGGGGGGGTGCACCCTCCGCTGTTTCCTGAAGTCCGATCGCCCCTTTGTTTTGTTGATGTTGAGGGAGAGGTTATATTCCTGGCACCACACTTCCCAGAGCCCTCACTCCTCCCTGTAGGCTGTCTCGTCATTGTTGGTATCAAGCCTACTATTTGTGTCGTCTGCAAACTTGATGATTGAGTTGGAGGCGTGTTTGGCCACGCAGTCATGGGTGAACAGGGAGGAACAGGAGGGGCTGAGCACGCACCCTTGTGAGGCCCCAGTGTTGAGGATCAGCGAAGTGGAGATTGTTTTCCCTACCTTCACCACCTGGGGGGGCACCGTCAGGAAGTCCAGGACCCAGTTGCACAGGGCGGGGTTCAGACCCAGGGCCTCGAGCTTAATGATGAGCTTGGAGGGTACTATGGTGTTGCTGCTATCTCCACTTTGGCATTATGGGGTATTGTGTGTAGGTCAGTGACACAAAATCTAAATTTAATCCATTTTAAATTCAGGCTGTAACACTACAACATGTTGAAAAATTCAAGGGGTGTGAACGCTTTCGACTTTGGTAGCACTTTGCACCTTCTTTCTTTTTTACTTTATTACATTAGACTAATAAGAACATAGACCTACATGTTTACATTTTAGTCATTTAGCAGATGCTCTTATCCAGAGCGACTTACAGTTAGTGAGTGCATATATATATTATTTTTTTACATATTGGTCCCCCGTGGGAATCGTACCCACAACCCTGGCGTTGCAAGCGCCATGCTCTACCAACTGAGCTACACGGGACTCTCCGTTAGTCACCTCTACATACATTTTTGGAATACGTCAGCTCATACCTTTTACTTCCTACTGCATGGTAACTTAGTGAACCTGTGTGTTGTTTCAGTCCATGATATTCCTGGTCCGGGATTGGAGTTTCCCTTACGAGTTTGGCTACGGACAGGAAGGAGGCATGAAGTTCTTGGAGAAGAGGCTCAAGGTCAGAGGTTACAGATGTAACGATGATTATAGTGGTTCATCTAAAGATAGCAGCAGCAACAACAACAACAGTTATATTAACAGTTTGTCATTAATTGAAACTAAAAGGGGTGCTATTTATGCTACATGATCATGTAAGCTGTAATAATAATATAAGCTTTCATCCAAAGAAACGTACAGATCCCTGTGATCGCCCCCTTGACATCCAACTGTGACTCTGTCTGTGTTTGTGTCTGTGTTTGTGTCTGTGGTTGTATATGTGTCTGTCTGTGGTTGATGTGTGTCTGTGTTCTAGATCTCTGAGAACCAGCATGAGGAGCTGCAGAACGTTCGTAAACACATCCACTCCTGCTTCACCAATATCTCCTGCTTCCTGATGCCCCACCCCGGCCTCAAAGTGGCCACCAACCCCAACTTCGACGGCAGACTCAAAGGTAGACTACACCACGATCACCTAGTCTTAATACACATTTGTTTCCTACAAAATATACACTAACTGTCTGATCGAATTCCATATAATAGAAAAGGTCAGGAAATTATCACACCATGACAAGAAGTGTGTTTTTGTATAGCCCTCCTCTTCGGCTAATGTTGCCTCTCCCTAACTTGTGTGCAGAGGGTCGCTGGTTCACGCCCAGCTCGGGGCAGAACAGGGTCAGTAGCATCACATTTACATTTTACTCATTTAGCAGATGCTCTTATCCAGAGCGACTTACAGTTAGCGAGTGCATACATTTTTCATACTGGTCCCCCCGTGGGAATCGAACCCACAACCCTGGCGTTGCGTTGCAAGCGCCACGCTCTACCGACTGAGCTACACGGGACTACGGATACATAACGGCTCTTCTTCTCCCTGACCTGTGTTTAGAGATCGACCGCGAGTTCATCAACAACCTGCAGATCCTGGTCCCGTGGCTGCTGAGTCCCAAGAACCTGGATGTCAAGGAGATCAACGGCAGCAACATCACCTGCAGAGGCCTGCTGGAGTACTTCAAGGTCAGAGACAGAGATTTTGATCTTGATTTTTGATCAAAAGAGATGGCGTAACAATGAGCATCAACAAACGTTCACTTCGACTGCATGACCTATTAGCTCCACACAATTAAAAATAAAGTCTTCCTCAGTGAAAAGAGATGATATTGAAAAGCTTTGATGCTGTATGTACCTACATCTATATGATGCTGTATGTACCTACATCTATATGATGCTGTATGTTTGAGTTTTGTTAAGAAACATTAAAATGTAGGTGACCTTATCTTTTTTTTCTTTCAGGCATACATCAAAATCTACCAGGGTGAGGAGCTGCCACACCCTAAATCCATGCTGCAGGTACACAGTTACTTCCCTGTCTGGCAGCATTATGCATTTCAGTGGCCTTGAGGTTAGAGCGTCCTCCCTGAGATTGGAAAGTTGGGAGTACCGTCCCCGGCCGGGTCATACCAAAGACTGTACGGTCCCCGGCCGGGTCACACCAAAGACTGTACGGTCCTCGGCCGGGTCATACCAAAGACTGTACGGTCCCCGGCCGGGTCATACCAAAGACTGTACGGTCCCCGGCCGGGTCACACCAAAGACTGTACGGTCCCCGGCCGGGTCATACCAAAGACTGTACGGTCCCCGGCCGGGTCATACCAAAGACTGTAAAATGGGCCAAAATGCCTCTGCTTGGCACTTGTAGTTGTGGTCAGTAGTTGTGGTCAGTAGTTGTGTGGTTCAGTAGTTGTGTGGTTGTGGTCAGTCGTTTTGGTTGGTAGTGGTGGTCGGTAGTGGCCAGTAGTTGTGGTCAGTAGTTTTGGCAAGTTGTTGTGGTCAGTAGTTGTGTGGTTGTTGTCAGTAATTGTGGTCAGTGGTTGTGGTCAGTAGTTGTGTGGTTCAGTAGTTGTGTGGTCAGTAATTGTTTGGTTTTGGTCAGTAGTTGTGTGGTTGTGGTCAGTACTTGTGTGGTTCAGTAGTTGTGTGGTCAGTACTTGTGTGGTTCAGTAGTTGTGTGGTCAGTTGTTGTGGTCACTAGTGAACTTCAAAACGTGATGTAGTTTTATTGGAATTTGCAGCTGTTGTTGGTAAGTAATGTATCTGCTAGTTTCTGACATGACTTACTGCATCTATAATGAAAGCAGTTGATGGTTACTAAAACAGCTTTATCTATTGATTGGTAGAAGCTATTCCTAATCTATTGTCAGATTGAAAAAGCAGTGGTAAAAATGTCAGTTGTTTATAAAAAGTTCCAAAAAATGTTGTTGATGCGGTTACTAAAACAGCTGTTACTTTTATCGGAATAAATATTTTTGTTCCAAATTCAGATTTGAAAAGCAGAGGAAGATTTTGTGTCAAAAGTTGCATTTGTTGCATTTACAGTGAATGGAATAATGGAAGTGATGATATCACAATGTGGCCTTTTAGAAATTTGGGGAAATCCCATGAAAGTGGATGGAGTACAAAAAGAAGGACAAAAAGTTTAATAGTTTAAAAAGTATAACATATATGCAAGCAGCCTAATGCAGATCAGGCTGCACGTTTTAAAGTGTGAATGGCGTTTCTATCTTATCTCGTCTTAAGAGGGGTACCATTCCAAATAATTATAATAATAAGTCTGAAATAATTCGTACAATATTTAAAATGTGGCTGCTGTCGCAAGCCACATAATCACAGAGTGTCACGCCCTGACCTTGAAAGCCTGTTATTCTTTAGTTAGGTTGGTCAGGGTGTGAATGCTAGAGGTTACCATGTGAATATCTAGGTATCTATGTGTAGATCTAGATTATATATTTCTATGTTTGGCCGGGTGTGGTTCCCAATCAGAGGCAGCTGTCGATCGTTGTCTCTGATTGGGGATCATAATTAGGTAGCCATTTTGCCTACCTACGTTGTGGGATCTTGACTCTTGTTTGTGTGTAGCCATTGTGAGCGTCACGTTACGTTGCTTTTGTTGTTTTGTCGGGTGTGAACTTAGTGAATAAACATGTATGCATTCCACGCTGCACCTTGGTCCAATCCTGTACTCGACGAACGTGACACAGAGTGAAAAGGAAGCAAGCCTGTACAGAATAAAAACATTCAAAAACTGCAAAAAAATGTGGCTAAGAAATTAACTTTATGTCCTGAATACAAAGTGTTATGTTTGGGGTAAATCCAACACAACACATCACTGAGTACCACTCTTCATATTTCCAAGCATGGTGGTGGCTGCATCATGTTATGGGTATACTTGTCATCGGCAAGGACTGGGGAGTTTTTTAGGATAAAAAGAAACGGAATAGAGCTAAGCACAGGCAAAAACAGGAGATGGACTCCTGCTCCAATGAGCCGTTTCCGGCTCACGCAAGCCAAGGCTTACCGCATTACAATGCATTATGACACGTACATTCCTGACGAAGATGTAACATGTGTTCTGTTGTGTTTTGTTCTCTTCCTCAGGCGACAGCAGAGGCCAACAACCTGGCAGCAGTGGCAGCAGCCAGGGACCTGTACAACAAGAAGATGGAGCAGGTATGAAGGCACAGCTTATTCTGTTTCTCACTTACCTCCAATTAATAATAATAATATGCCATTTAGCAGACGCTTTTATCCAAAGCGACTTACAGTCATGCGTGCATACATTTTTGTGTATGGGTGGTCCCGGGGATCGAACCCACTACCTTGGCGTTACAAGCGCCGTGCTCTACCAGCTGAGCTACAGAGGACCACAATTCTAATGCTGCTGCCTTCCTGAGACCTCCTGAGACCTACTGTTGTCCCTCCCGGATCCAGAAATGCTTTTGCTCCCCCCCCCCCCCCCCGGCCAATAGTCGTTCTCCTGAAGAGTGAATCCTCTTTTTCCAGGCGTTTTCAAACCTTTCATGGAACGGAAACCCCAGGCCGTTCCATGTATTGGATCTACTCCGGAGCCAGCACACCTGATTCAACTGGTCAACTAATCATCAACCCCTTGACTAGGTTAACCAGGTCAGCTAGTCATCAACCCCTTGACTAGGTTAAACCCCTTGACTAGGTTAACCAGGTCAGCTAGTCATCAACCCCTTGACTAGGTTAACCAGGTCAGCTAGTCATCAACCCCTTGACTAGGTTAACCAGGTCAGCTAGTTATCAACCCCTTGACTAGGTTAACCAGGTCAGCTAGTCATCAACCCCTTGACTAGGTTAACCAGGTCAGCTAGTTATCAACCCCTTGACTAGGTTAACCAGGTCAGCTAGTCATCAACCCCTTGACTAGGTTAACCAGGTCAGCTAGTCATCAACCCCTTGACTAGGTTAAACCCCTTGACTAGGTTAAACCCCTTGACTAGGTTAAACCCCTTGACTAGGTTAAACCCCTTGACTAGGTTAAACCACTTGACTAGGTTAAACCCCTTGACTAGGTTAAACCCCTTGACTAGGTTAAACCACTTGACTAGGTTAAACCCCTTGACTAGGTTAAACCCCTTGACTAGGTTAAACCCCTTGACTAGGTTAACCCCCTTGACGAGGTTAACCAGGTCAGCTAGTTCAGGGCTACAACAATATTGTGAAACGTCCGGGGGTCCCCGAGGAGAGGTTTAAGAACCACTGCTCTATTTTTACACTATGGTGAAGGTATCTAATCCCCCCCCCCCTCTCCAGGTGTGTGAAGGTATCTAATCCCCCCCCCCCTCTCCAGGTGTGTGAAGGTATCTAATCCCCCCCCTCTCCAGGTGTGTGAAGGTATCTAATCCCCCCCCCCTCTCCAGGTGTGTGAAGGTATCTAATCCCCCCCCCTCTCCAGGTGTGTGAAGGTATCTAATCCCCCCCCCCCTCTCCAGGTGTGTGAAGTTATCTAATCCCCCCCCCTCTCCAGGTGTGTGAAGGTATCTAATCCCCCCCCCCTCTCCAGGTGTGTGAAGGTATCTAATCCCCCCCCCCCCTCTCCAGGTGTGTGAAGGTATCTAATCCCCCCCCTCTCCAGGTGTGTGGTGGTGACCGGCCCTTCCTGGCCCCAGCAGAGCTCCAGGCCAGACAAAGTGACATCAGAGAGGAAGCCCTCCAGGTGTTCCGGGGGGTCAAGAAGATGGGAGGGGAGGAGTTCAGCCGACGCTACCTGCTACAACTAGAGGGAGAAGTATGTCACCCCGGTCTCCCGCTTGGGAAACCAACATCTTTCTTAACCATTAGCCCAATAGGAAATTCCCTCTTGGGTCGAGGGTCAGGTGACACTGATTTGAAGTCGCAAAGACGCAGGGCTACCGCATCACGTGAGTGTACGTCTGACTCACCTCTGCTTCATTCACCATTTCAAACAATCAACCTGAATACATAAACATTGAGGGGCAGTTTCCCGGACACAGATTAAGCCTAATCCTGGACTAAGGATTAGGCTTAATCTGTGCCCTGAACCCGCCCGATAAATACATATTTGGCAAGTGGCAAAACCCAGCTAGCACATAACGTTCTGAGAACCATATCTTTCTTTGAGTTTGGTGAGAGCCTGGTTGTCCTATGGATATTTTGCCTACAACCTTCCCACAAGTTTCTGGGAATGGTGCAGAATGAAGAATTTGTATGAGTTTAAAAAAAACATTGCAAGCTAGCTCCATCCTGGTGGTGCAGAGGACTCATGGATAGAGAACAGATGATCATAGGTTTGAATCTCACTGACGCCGCGCCACAATAAAAAATAAATGTGTTTTAATGTTTTATCTGTGCTTGGAGTTTAAATCAGTTAACCTACGCTAGCAGTGTTAGTTAAATAATGTTCTGAGAACTTTTAATATCTTCAAATAACCTTTCATTTCCATTCTCAGAACATTAATACAACCTCCCAGGAAAACTTTCAGGGAACCATAGTAAAACGTTCTCAGAACCTCTCTGCAACCTAAAAATGTACGTTCACAGAACAGGCTAAATTTTCACTACCGTTCTCAGGATGTTTAAAAAATATTCAGTTTTACCGGTCAGGAAACGTATGGCTTCGTTCCCGGAACCAATTGGAAACCAAAAAAACGTATGTTCCCAGAACTTCCAAGGAACCAAATGTGCTAGTTGGGAAGTGGAACCAATCACCTAAGGTTGCTTTCCCAAAATTCCCAGGTTTTCCAGAAATCCTGCATATTCCCTGGAAATTTACTAGAATTTTGCAACCCTAAATAAACATAACCAACCCTGTTCTAGGTGGACGAGGTGTTCGTCCAGTACATCAAGCACAACGACTCCAAGAACATCTTCCACGCCGCCCGCACCCCGGCCACGCTGTTCGTGGTCATCTTCATCATGTACGTGGTGGCGGGCATCACGGGCTTCGTGGGGGTGGACATCATCGCCAGCGTGTGTAATATGATTCTGGGCCTGGCGCTGATCACCCTGTGTACCTGGGCTTACATCCGCTACTCTGGGGAGTACCGAGAGCTGGGCCAGGTCATCGACCAGGTGGCTGGAGCCCTCTGGGACCAGGTAAGTCCCCAGAACCTACTTTATATATGGCCAGGATGAGTAGCGTGAATTTGCGCCTAGACGCTGACCTTGGGTCAGTTTAGAATCCCCCCCTAATGGTTAAAGTTACGTTTGGGGGAAAGAAAGCTGATCCAAGATCTGTACCAAGGGGAAAGTTCAGTGTGTCACAGTGGATAAGGTGGCCATTTTAGGACATTGTCAACTCACTTCACCTCCTATTGAGTCGACCCAGAATGTTATTTCTGACCATGTACTCTACAACGTTATCTCATGGATGTAGCACCTTAACCCAATGAGTCCCACTATAACGCCGGTGCATTTTGGATTTCTAACCACTTTTAAACATGATGTGTTTGGGTTGTACCATTTGGATTCGTATATATATTTCTTCTGCATCCGTAGATACCAACCATTAGTCTGTGTGATTTAATGGCGGCTGAGCTAGAGCGGTTTTGTGAGACAAGGGCAGGACGCCCGAAAGGGCTCGAGGGGGCCTGGTCTTTTTGCAGAAACATCTGAATGGTTTGAGCTACAAATGATTATAAGCTTTCTATGACACTCACAGGCTACACAAGAGTCGTTAGAAGGTAAAGGGTTCTTCTACATAGAAGATCATAGCAAATCCCAGGACATAGTGTCTATAATACTGTAAAGGGTTCTTCTACATAGAAGATCCTAGGAAATCCCAGGACATAGTGTCTATAATACTGTAAGGGGTTCTTCTACATAGTAGATCATAGGAAATCCCAGGACATAGTGTCTATAATACTGAGTCGTTAGAAGGTAAAGGCTTCTTCTACATAGAAGTCCTAGTGTCTATAATACTGTAATAAGCTCACATAGTTGCTGTCACAAACTCCCCACAGTGGTCACTGACTAGTTGGACATTCACTTCCCAGTGAGCAAACAATTTCTGTACTTACAGCATTCATATAAATTCATTTTTATCAGGTTTTTGCTTTGGCGGACCTTATTTTATTTTATTGACTCATGAATGCAACTCTTTTTATGTGAAATTGTTCTACTTGTAGCCCTGTTCGTCCTGGAAAGAAAATGGTAAAACACTTAATTGTGAGGCTAAATAAAAGGGCTGGACTTGCAGATAAATGAAAGTCAGATAAATGAAAAGCTGATTTTCTGCTGGGGTCTCGGGACAGATAGGGTTAAAGGACTCCTAGACCACAGGGAAACCTTTCCCTGAGACATGGCCGTAGACTCCAAAGAGGTGCCCAGCCATGTCTCAGGGCAAAGGAATACCCCAGTTTTACCTAGACCAGGGGTCTCCAACGGGTAGATAGCTACCAGTAGCTGGCAGACTACCTATGAGTAGCTCGCCAAACAATTCTGAAAGGACATCACGTGTTCCGCCGCAAACTGTCAAAACAAATCTCACAAGTATCGGACACTGCAAGCTCCCAGCTACCATCTAATCAACGCAACTGTTATAGTGTGGACACTATATAAATAATTACATTGAATATGGATTGTACATACCTGCAGTATAGTATGATTAATATTCATGTGTGCATGGTTATTATTGGCATTGGCATTGACCGTGACCTTTTCCCTTTGATGATGTCATCACCCAGAGTCGGATCTGTACAATGCGACTCTACCACATGTTGCGTGGGCTGTATCGTTTTACTGTACCGTTTGTACATGGCTGTACACCTTTTTATTTCTTAAGTTGAAAGTAAAGGAAAGTAATATTGAAATGCGTGTGGGCATTCCTTGTCAAGTTACTACAGCAACATTGACATTTTCCCACCCCTGGTTAGCCACTATTGGCTTAAAAAAGCCAAACCTAACACAATATCTGCCAATTAATTTCCAGCAATATTGCCCCTCTCTGTCTGTGTGGTGCAGGCGTTTGTCTATCTCTCAGTGTGTAGCCGTCTTGTGGGTTGACAGAAATACTTCCCCCAACACCTTCTCAATTAAATGTTGACTGCAAAGTAGGTTTACCTGGCAGAAGTATCTATTATATTTTTATTTGCAAACTTTTCCATGGAATGAGCAGCAGCAGTACAGAACCATCACTAGACCGGCACATTCCTCACTCACTAGCTGTGCAATTAAAGGGTCAGATGCGCTATTAAAGGGCCAGATGCGCAATTAAAGGGCCAGATACGCAATTAAAGGGCCAGATGCACAATTAAAGGGCCAGATACGCAATTAAAGGGCCAGATGCACAATTAAAGGGCCAGATGCACAATTAAAGGGCCAGATGCGCAATTAAAGGGCCAGATGCACAATTAAAGGGCCAGATGCACAATTAAAGGGCCAGATGCACAATTAAAGGGCCAGATGCACAATTAATGGGCCAGATACGCAATTAATGGGCCAGATACGCAATTAAAGGGCCAGATGCACAATTAAAGGGGAATTACACAGAACATCCCATTTTGTTGTTTCCCTATGTAATTTTGAGAATGGAAAACAAAAACATCTAAAGTCAGGAAAAATTAAACGGAGAGAAAACAATTTGGGAAAATATAAAACATAATTTGTGGAAAGGATCACCCCCCCCCCCCCAGAGTTGTTTATGAACCATTATTTGACCAGGTCTATTGACAGAACACATAGTGCACCACTTTCTCTCGTACACTAAGGACCCGGGGAAGAGTTGCAGGGGAGAGGAGAAGAATGGGCCTATTTGAAAGCTAGAAAAAAAATGAGTAGCTCGCGACGTTACATCTTTTTCAAAGTAGCTCTCATGCTAGAAAAGACCCCTGACCAAGAGTATAAAGACTTTATAGAGCATCCAAACCACTAGGTGGCGACATACACACATATGACTGTGTCGAACAATACAACGTCTGGAAATGATCACAATGTATAGCTTTTAGAGTTTGAGCTGAAGGAAACAAATATTTATAACATGTTCATATTTATATTACATTTGATATTTGTATTATTTGTCTAAGACTGTGTCTTTTTGTTTCGCTCCATGTTTTGCAACAGGGAAGCACAAATGAGGTAAGTGCACTGGGGGAGGAGTTGTCAGTAAGTCAGTATAAGCCTACTGTATGTTTTCCTGTCTATCTTGAGCATTCCAATAATGGTTAAAGTCCCAAATGCACCCTCTCTCTCTCCTGTTGTTCAGGCTCTGTATAGGTCTAAATTTGACCTAGGATGTACCCTTTCTGTATCTCGCCATATTGCACATTTGAAACCAATGAACTTTAGCATTCTGACAATGGTTAATTTGTAGAATTCCCCCCTCTTCTTTAGCCAGATAGTGACGACCCCTCTTCCTCTCTCATCCGCTCTCCCGAATCAAAGAGCGACGGCAGCACATAAGACGTATATAGAACAAATGAGCTACGGTCCGCTCCTATGCCTCGTGCTGTAGACGCTTCCTGTGACCTCTCCTCCCTATCCTCTCTCTCCTCTCCTCTCCCTCGAATATCTTCTCTACTCTTCTCCTCTCTTCTCATTACTCCTGTATTCTCTTCTTTCTCTTCTCTTCTTCCTCTGTATTCTCTCTCTTTCTCTTCTCTCTCTCTTCTCTTCTCCTCTCTATTCTCCTTTCACAGGCTTCTTATATTAAGCTGTATAACCGCTGCAGGCCAGTCACATGGCACCTTGTATCCACCATTGCGTTCCCATGGCCCCAGGCTCCCGTAGAGGGGAGCGAGACCCCTGAGGAACCCACCAGGAAGAGGAACTGACCTGGCGACCTGATTGGCCAGAGCACAGCAGGGACTGCTGGGTACCTCTTAACTGACATGATGGATAGAGGGGGGGAGGGGGGGAGGGGGGGAGGAAGAGGCATCCTCACCCGCTGGACACTCTTTTACTATGGTGTTGGCTGGAACAGTCCAGTGAAGCGTTCACTATTTTAAATCTAAATGTGGACAATGTAATGTCCCAGAAATTTCCCTTTGAACTGGGTTGCCTGGTCTGTTGCCTTCAAAACAATGGGTATTTCACATATCATTGTCTTTCACAAACCACATTCAACCTTTTCTGTCTGTCTGTAAGTTAGACATCTGTAAATACACGCAGAACAGCAGGCAAGGAGGTGTACAGATCACACTCCACATGCAAATTCCTATCAGCAATTTGTTTGGCCTGAGAGGTACAGTAAGTTACAGTTATCTGCTGATATCATTGTGTTAGGTGAGACAGCATGACGGCCGTCAGCACTGATAGTTCATGGCAACGCCATCGCCTTAGAATGTCATCTGTCGGAAGACAGTGCTTCTGATTTTCACGAATACGAGTTTACCTGAGTATGCCATTGAGGAGAGGTTTAAATCAAGTTGACCTCTGACCTATAACAGAATGGTGGTCAATGTACAGTACCAGTCAAAAGTTTGGACAGACCTACTCATTCAAGGTTTTTATTTTATTTAATTTTTTACTATTTTCTACATTGTAGAATAATAGTGAAGACATAAAAACAATGAAATAACACATATGGAATCATGTAGTAACCAAAAAAGTATTAAATAAATAAAAATATATTATATATTTTAGATTCTTCAAAGTAGCCACCCATTGCCTTGACGACAGCTCTGCACACTCTTGGCATTCTCTCAACCAGCTTCATAAGGAATGCTTTTCCAACCGTCTTGAAGGAGTTCCCACATATGCTGAGCACTTGTTGGCTGCTTTTCCTTCACTCTGCGGTCCGTCTCATCCCAAACCATCTCAATTGGGTTGAGGTCGGGGGATTGTGGAGGCCAGGTCATCTGATGCAGCACTCCAACACTCTCCTTCTTGGTAAAATAGCCCTTACACAGCCTGGAGGTATGTTTTGGGTCATTGTCCTGTTGAAAAACAAATGATAGTCCCACTAAGCGCAAACCAGATGGGATGGCGTATCGCTGCAGAATGCTGTGGTAGCCATGCTGGTTAAGTGTGCCTTGAATTCTAAATAAATCACAGTGTCACCAGCAAAGCACCCCCACACCATCACACCTCCTCCTCCGTTCACCTACTCTGTGTCTCATAAAGACCCAGCGGTTGGAACCAAAAATCTCAAATTTGGACTCATCAGACCAAAGGACAGATTTCCACCGGTCTAATGTCCATTGCTCGTGTTTCTTGGCCCAAGCAAGTCTCTTCGCCTTATTGGTGTCCTTTAGTAGTGGTTTCTTTGCAGCAATTCGACCACGAAGGCCTGATTCACGCAGAGGTTACCCTGGGTCATCCTTTCCTGTGGCGGTCCTCATGAGAGCCAGTTTCATCATGGCGCTTGATGGCTTTTACGACTGCACATATTTTCCCGGATTGACTGACCTTCATGTCTTAAAGTAATGATGGACTGTCGTTTCTCTTTGCTTATTTGAGCTGTTCTTGCCATAATATGGACTTGGTCTTTTACCAAATAGGGCTATCTTCTGTATACCACCCCTACCTTGTCACACACAACTGATTGGCTCAAACGCATTAAGAAGGAAAGAAATTCCACAAATTAACTTACTACATGATTCCATATGTGTTATTTCATAGTTTTGATGTCTTCACTATTATTCTACAACGTAGAAAATAGTAAAAAAAATAAAGAAAAACCCTTGAATGAGTAGGTGTGTCCAAACTTTTGACTGGTACTGTATATTGATTTTCATGTTTTATCAGGTTAAGTTTCTTTAAGGTTTTTTTTTTTTTTTTTTTACCAGGGTCCATAGTGCTCTGGTAAAGGTAGTGTGCTGTGTAGGGAGTAGGGTGCCATTTGTAGGGAGTAGGGTGCCATTTGTAGGGAGTAGGGTGCCATTTTGGACGCATGCGAAGTCTTTGTTTAAATATACATATTTTTGTCAGCATGGTAAATCGTCAGTGTCTACCCTTTTAGGCTCTCCCAAGCTTATCTTGAGTAACGGTATATTTCTTAACGATTTCACATCTTTAGGGCTTGTACTTGTCCTGGCACTTTGTTTGTTTGTTTTTGTAATATAGGTAACTGTGTGCCAATATCATGCAGCTACAGTTTCACATAGCTATAACAGCACTCTCATACCTACTACATAATGATGCCACTTGTTGGGCAAAACACAATCATCCATTCTCTATGGTCTATAAAATCAACCCCTCACACATGTTTTGGTTTGGGGAGGTGAGGTGAGGGGAGGGGTGAGGGGAGGTGAGGTGAGGGGAGGGGTGAGGGGAGGGGAGGGGAGGTGAGGGGAGGTGAGGGGAGGTGAGGTGAGGGGAGGTGAGGGGAGGTGAGGGGAGGTGAGGTGAGCTGCCTGTGCTCCGTTAGTCTGTGTCATGCACACAGAATGAAATATAATCAAATAGGGCCCTATTCAGACTTGAGATAAGTTGACTTAACATGGATTTAAGTTTATTTTTATTTTTATGCTGACTTAAGTCCATGTTCTCTGAATCGGGCCGATATAGCCTATGGTATCTCTATGGTCACACATTTAGACTGGAACAGAATTTACACATTTAGACTGGAACAGAATTTACACATTTAGACTGGAACAGAATTTACACATTTAGACTGGAACAGAATTTACACATTTAGACTGGAACAGAATTTACACATTTAGACTGGAACAGAATTTACACATTTAGACTGGAACAGAATTTACACATTTAGACTGGAACAGAATTTACACATTTAGACTGGAACAGAATTTACACATTTAGACTGGAACAGAATTTACACATTTAGACTGCCGGGGACGAGATCAAGAGTAAGTCATTGGACCGGTGAGTAGTTTGTGATGGGCTGGCTGGGTAGAGGTAGACCGAGAAATGTAGAACATTATAAACAGTTTCACTACAGTTGACTATATTATATTTATCTCTTTCACTTCGTACTAGTCTGCTTCTTGCACAGTTTGGTAAATAAATGCACTTCGAAACAGAAATTATGATCTTTTAAACTGGCGTGGCCTTTGGGAAACACGTGGGTGATAGTGAAGGCTGGGGGAATAGATGTTAGTAGATAGTGAAGGCTGGGGGAAATAGATGTTAGTAGATAGTGAGGGCTGGGGGAATAGATGTTAGTAGATAGTGAGGGATGGGGGAATAGATGTTAGTAGATAGTGAGGGATGGGGGAATAGATGTTAGTAGATAGTGAGGGATGGGGGAATAGATGTTAGTAGATAGTGAGGGATGGGGGAATAGATGTTAGTAGATAGTGAGAGATGGGGGAATAGATGTTAGTAGATAGTGAGGGATGGGGGAATAGATGTTAGTAGATAGTGAGGGATGGGGGGAATAGATGTTAGTAGATAGTGAGGGATGGGGAATAGATGTTAGTAGATAGTGAGGGCTGGGGAAATAGATGTTAGTCCATTCTACAGAAAGAAGAGTGAGACCATTCCCAGCTAGCACATAACGTTCTGAGAACCATCCCAGCTAGCACATAACGTTCTGAGAACCATCCCAGCTAGCACATAACGTTCTGAGAACCATCCCAGCTAGCACATAACGTTCTGAGAACCATCCCAGCTAGCACATAACGTTCTGAGAACCATCCCAGCTAGCACATAACATTCTGAGAACCATCCCAGCTAGCACATAACGTTCTGAGAACCATCCCAGCTAGCACATAACATTCTGAGAACCATCCCAGCTAGCACATAACGTTCTGAGAACCATCCCAGCTAGCACATAACGTTCTGAGAACCATCCCAGCTAGCACATAACATTCTGAGAACCATCCCAGCTAGCACATAACGTTCTGAGAACCATCCCAGCTAGCACATAATGTTCTGAGAACCATCCCAGCTAGCACATAACGTTCTGAGAACCATCCCAGCTAGCACATAACGTTCTGAGAACCATCCCAGCTAGCACATAACGTTCTGAGAACAATACGTTTCTTAGAGCTTGGTGAGAACATCATTGTCTTGTCCTATGGTTATTTAGCATAAAACCTTCCCACAGTGTTCTGGGAATGGTGCAGGATATCCAGCTAGCACATAACGTTCCGAGAACCATATGTTTCCTATGTGGGAATTTCATTACATCAGCATAACATTTTCTACAGGTTTCCTCATGGTTCTATGTTCTCAATACGTTCAGAGAACGTTAAGAAACAACGTTCTTCTGCGGGAATTTCAGTACTTCAGCATGGTCCTATTTAAAGTCATGTTCTCAGAACATTAAGAAAACGTTCCACAAAAAACACAATAAAACATTAGTAACGTTCAAAGTAACCTCCTGCCTAAATGACTACCGACACGTAGCACTCACGTCTGTAGCCATGAAGTGCTTTGAAAGGCTGGTCATGGCTCACATCAACACCATTATCCCAGAAACCCTAGACCCACTCAATTTGCATACCGCCCCAACAGATCCACAGATGATGCAATCGCTATTGCACTCCACACTGCCCTTTCCCACCTGGACAAAAGGAACACCTACGTTAGAATGCTATTCATTGACTACAGCTCAGCGTTCAACACCATAATGCCCACAAAGCTCATCACTAAGCTAAGGATCCTGGGACTAAACACCTCCCTCTGCAACTGGATCCTGGACTTCCTGACGGGCCGCCCCCAGGTGGTAAGGGTAGGTAACACCACATCTGCCATGCTGATCCTCAACACGAGTGCCCCTCAGGGGTGCGTGCTCAATCCCCTCCTGTACTTCCTGTTCACCCATGACTACATGGCCAGGCACGACTCCAACACCATCATTAAGTTTGCAGACGACACAACAGTGGTAGGCCTGATCATTGACAACGATGAGACAGCCTATAGGGAGGAGGTCAGAGACCTGGCCGTGTGGTGCCAGGACAACAACCTCTCCCTCAATGTGATCAAGACAAAGGAGA